GTTATCGTTGAGAAAAGGCTGTCTGATTGAAGACATTGAAAACATTTTCTCTATTAGTCACTTCAAAGTTAAGTCCAAAGATTATAACGAATGAGACTTAAAATTTTGATCTGACATTTCTTCATCTAAGCTCGAGTATATTAGTTTGAACAATCTAAGATATGGACTGTTATAACAGTCTTATCGGCTTAATAAATTTAATTTGAAATCTATGAAAATTCATTTTAGTTTCATATATTTCTTTGTATAAAAGAAGTTCATTTGAATGAGATATGTGTGCTGATGTATTTAACCATCGAAGAACGATTGATTTTCTTAATGAATGATTTCAACAAGAAGCTAATATAGATTTAACAAGTATTGATTATATGGAAAGTATTAAACAAATTAATATTGATTGATTTAAAATAAACTCAATGATTTCGGCTCGAATTGATGTAAGAATATATATATAAAGAAAAAGATCTTCTAAGTATATTAATCTTTTGCATTCTAATCGACATTAGAACAACTCAATTAATCAATTTAATGAATTCGATCAAGCTATACGTACACTATCTGATTGGATACAAGAACAAACATCGGATCTTGAATTTATGCGTACGAGAAACTTAGAAGCTGGTACTAAAGATAATATAAAAAGATGCAATGTAAAACATATTTTATTGTATCTTTTTAATTCTTTTTATATGATTCTAATTTCTATAGAAAATGGAATTTCAATTAACATCAAAACAATAAATTCTTAAATCATTAAAATCTTATGGTGATCGAATGATATCATCTTTATCAACATTTCGAATAACAAATCAAGAGATTTATGAATGACGAAAAACGGGAAAGAAAGTTTAACATTGAAATCCTTAATATATATCATAATATTGGTGGGAAAATAAATACAGATACAAGTTATTTCCTCCAAATACTAGCAACATCCGATATACGGCATACCTCAGTGGAACTTCATTGCTAAAAACTCAAAGTCGAAATTTTTCACAAAAATCTTGATTTTTGAGTAAGGGAAGGCTTCAAAAATCCATTTTACCTATTAAGGAAGCATTTTATTGATCATATTTTAAAATTTAAAGAAGATTATCCTGATAAAATCGATTTTTAAAAAGTCTTAAATGATTTTGTCCTAAAAACTGATTCAAATATAATTTTATCGAACATCATCGCAATTATTTAGGGCGTAGGAGTAGCTATAGGTCTGTGGGTAAAAAAACTAGCCCCATCCACACTGAATAAAGTAATTGATTTATTTTAATACCCATTAGTTCTTCATTCCAGCTTATAAATACTTGTAAATGATATGTATAGATTGGACAAAAGCCAGAAATTCGAGGAGGAATACGAAATATTGGGAAAAGATAAAATTTGAAAAAGTCTACCATTACATGAATCATATCAGATGATATACATAGGAAAAATATCTCATGAACTCAGTCAAAGGAAAGTTAGGTTAGAACTCAGGAAACTTCTTCAGGTGAATTATTCCAAATACAGCCATTCAAAATAGTGGTATTTCGCCTTTGTTTTCATGTAAGATTGATATACTCTGTGGAATCCCTAAAATCCAAATATAACTCACATACTTTATATACATAATTATATCTGTTAAACGAAAACTGATATTGCTGCATTAAAAACACCGATTACAAAAAAATCTGACTCAATTAAAATCGGCGTTTCATTTTAAAAGAAGTCTTTTTTTTTTACCACCATTCGATTAAACGTCTTTATAGTTTGATAGAGCTCAATGTAGTGATTTCCACAATCACACATGTCTTTTTAAAAATAGAGAAATAATGAAAAGTTTTTGTTCGCTGAGAATAAGTTCATTTGATGGAAAATGCCTTTTTTTCTGTAAGAATCTGTAGTATATTGCTCAGATACTGAAATACTTTTGTATTGATAAAAGGCAAATACCAATTTGATGCATGAATATCGTTATAAATAATAATTTTTTCAGTCTTATGAAGTTATAGTTTTTTCAGATATACACGTGAGATTGCTTTATCGAATACGTGATCCACTATATTCCTTATGCTGATATTATTTTGAAGTTGAAATTCCGTGTCTACTAAAGTACTATTTTGATTATCATTATTGTTGAACAGAATTTGTGTTATTTAGCACCACAATGTGGTGCTTTTCAAATAAAATCATCTTCATTTGACTCTAAAACTGATATCTCTTAATTGACAGGAGTACAAAAAATTG